ATAATTGAGGAAAAGAGATTCGAATTCTATTCTTTAGGTAAAAGATTATGTATTAATTAATGAGTCAAATGTTTAAATATGAAAAACTAAGTTTAAACTTGTGTAACATATTCATTTAAGTACAAATAAAAAAAAATATATATTAATGAGTTTATAAACAATACCATCTCATGGGAATCAATGACAATTGATAAACAGTTGGGAGTAATGCTTTTCTCCATGCAAGGGAGAGACAATCTTCTCTTTTGTATGTTTATTAGAATTTGTGGTCCTTTGAGGTCCAGATTAGGTGGGCCAGATAAGTTTTTCCCATGGGCCCAGTCTCTGTTAGCCTTCCACCTGGGAAAAAAAACAAAACGTTTAGAGATTAGGGTTTGAGCCCACATTATCTTTTATTCTCAAAACTCTTTTGGATCAACCATTTTTTTTTAATTATTTCAACATTTTACACATTGAAGAAATATTAATACTGAAGGTATTATACTTGTCCTTTCAAGTGTAAAGATTAAATTGACAAAAATAAATCGTGTAATACTCAATTCAAAAAATTTTAAATATATATTTTTTTATTTTGTTCAACCAAACTCATATATTTTTATTTTAAATAAAATAAATCTTTATAACTAATAATAAATTAATTATTATTAGTTAAAATGTTACTTGTTATTTTGTATCCACATGATATTGATTTAATGTTAATGTGAAAGATGAAAAATGTCACATAATCATATTATTATGTCAAATTAGTATGTCATGTCATCATCAATAATAATATATTAATATATTACATCATCGATAATTATGATATGCTTGCATATTACGTCACATATAATGACAAATAATATTTTAATTAAATCTATTATTATTTGAGTCAAAATAAAAATACAAAGATTTCATTGAACGTAATAAAAGTTTAAAAATTTATTTAAATTTTCTTACATAATTTAAAGATCTTTTTTAAAGTATTATATCTAAATAAATGTAAATTAAATTTTAAATTATTCAATTAAAAAAATCTTTGCCATTAATAGTATGTGAAGTCTGTAACTCAATTTAGATATAACAAAAGAGGTAAAAGCTGGGGTTTT